CTTCAACCCATTGTTTCCTCCATGTTATTTTAATTTAATTTTTCATTTTAAAAAAAATAACTTGTTTTTAATTTTTTTTTTTTTTTTTTTTTTTTTTTTGAGATGGAGTCTCTCTCTGTTGCCCAGGCTGGGCTGGAGTGCAGTGGCACGATCTCAGCTCACTGCAACCTCTACCTCCCGGGTTCAAGAGATTCTCCTGCCTCAGCCTCCTGAGTAGTTGGGATTACAGGCACATGCCAGCACGCCTGGCTAATTTTTGTATTTTTAGTAGAGACAGGGTTTCACCATGTTGGTAAGGCTGGTCTTGAACTCCTGACCTTGTGATCCGCCTGACTTGGCCTCCAAAAGTGCTGGGATAACAGGTTCTGTGACATTTTTATCTACACTTGAAATTAAGAATAGATGAATAATGAAATTAGAAATCATTAACAGAAAGAAATTTGGGAAATTCACAAATCTGTGGAAATTAAACAATACACTTCTTAATAATTAATGTCAAAGATGAAATCACAAGAGAAATTAGAAAATGCTTTGAAATTAATAAAGAAAACACAGCACACCAAAACTTACAGTATACAACTAAAGCAGTGCTATACAGAAAAGAAAAAAGATATTAAATAAATAGCCTAAAATTCTGCTTTAAGAAACTAGAAGAAAACCAAACCCAAAACAAACAGAAGGAAGAGGCTACTTTAAAATGTAGGTTTTATTATTATTCCTGTATGGTGAGGCCAATAGATCAGGAGGTGATTGCTATTGAAAAAATAGTTTATTATGCTCACAGATCCTGAGGAGAGGGCATGCCATGCTATATAGCAGGCCACATGGGGAAACACTGGGTCATTTAGAAGGCAGGTGGTTGGGGAAATGTGGGCAAAAGCCTTGACTGTGGTTTCAAAGGGAAGAGGCACACAAGACAGGGTAAGCAGGTTTAGGATTAGCTAGTTTGGATGATTTCAGTGCTTCTGGGATTGAGGGGCTATTTCTAGTTGTCTAGTACCTGGCCCAGGTGATTAGGGCAGTATAGTATTGGCACTCAGTGTCATAGAGGAGATGGTAGGGTATTGGCTTTAGTATGGTTGGTTTGCCTATGAAAGGAGTACTCACAGGTGGGTTCACTATCTGTAAGGAAAAAGCTAATCCTGGCAGGGGCAGTCCCTCCAGTGTTAGCAAGGACCCTGATGTCAAAACATCAAAACTATAGAAAGTAAAAAGATATGCTTAATACAGAAGCTAATAAAGGTTAAAGCAGAAATATGTGAAAGAGAGAACAGAAAAACAATGGAGGAAATCAATGAAACTAAAAGTGGTTCTTTGAAAAGATCAACAAAATTGACTACAGCTAGACTGATCAAGAAAAAAAGAAGACTCATGTTCTAAAATCAGAAAAGAGGGAACATTGCTGCCAACTATACAGAAATAAAAAGGATTGCCTAGGAGCAGTGATTCAGGTCTATAATCCCAGCACTTTGAGAAGCTGAGGCAGGTGGATTACCTGAGGTCAGGCGTTCAAGACCAGCTTGACCAATGTGACAAAACTCCATTTCTACTAAAAATACAAAAAGTAGCCAGGCATAATGTAATCCCAGTTGCTTGTGTAACTGAGCCAGGAGAATCACTTGAACCTGGGAGACAGAGGTTGCAGTGAGCCAACATCGTACCACTGCACTACAGCCTGGGTGACAAAGAGATTCCGTCTNGCACTACAGCCTGGGTGACAAAGAGATTCCGTCTAGAAAAAAAAAAAAAAAAAAGATTTCTGCACAGCTGAGATATTTAAAAAAAAAAAGAAAGAAAGAAAGGGGTTATAATGGAATGCTATGAACAATTATATGCTAACTAATTAGATGACTTAGATAAAACGGACGAATTCCAAGAAAGACAGTCTACTAAAATAGAAAATCTGAATATATCTATAATAAGTAGAGAGAATTAGTAATAAAAACTTTTCTGCTCACATAGAAAATTCCGGCATCAGATAGTTTCATTGGTCAATTCTATGAAACCTTTAGAGAATAACATCAGTAGCTTATAAAACTCTTCGGAAAAATAGAAGAGAACGCTACCCAACTCATTC